GGGCGGGGACAGCGGGCTGGATGGCGGCAAGGAGGGCCCAAGCCCGGCCGTCAGGTTTGGGGCTCTAGGAGCGAGCGGGTGCCGCGGTGGGCGGCCCCTGCCCGACTCCGGCCAGCGTTGCCCCCCCGCCTGCCCGGCGACACCAGGAGCCGCCGCTGCATCTTGGCGGGGTCCGCCCCGCGCTTCCCGAGCCTCCCTCTCCGCGGGGTGGGGCCAGCCGCCTATGGCCAATCAGGAGACGCATGCAAAACTGGAGGCGGGGCCGAGGGCGGTATCTCCGCAGCGTTGAGGTTCGGCTGCTGCTGAACCAACCCCACCTTCCCTTCACAGCAGAATCCAGTTTACATCTCAATGCCTAAAATCATTTTATTTTGTTTACCTATTGTTGTCTCTCCCGTAGATCTCCTGAATGCAAGGATCTTGTCGCTCCTGTTCACAGCTGGCTCTTCAGTGCCTAGAGCAGGCTGACCTACTGCTACCTTCCACGGACACTCTTTGAATGAATGAAAATTAATCAAAAATTACCTTTAAGAAATTATGTTTAAATGCCTGGGGCCTGAAACCTCACTCCAGGAGTGGTGAACTTTGACTGTTACCTGCATTCTGGGCCTTTCCCTTTGAGGTCCTGTTTCCCTCTCCCTGGGATTCATATCCTATACCCAACTATACCCATTAAACTATATGTGTCACTTATCCAAGCATTCTTTCCTTAAAGGAGTTTTCAGACTCAAGTATACATGTAACTCACTTTTTTAAGGCCCCGCCATGTGCTGGTAGTGTTGAAGCACCCTGAGTATAACCGACTCTGAATATATGTGGCAAATACATCAAAGGACTTGTATCCAGAATATAGAAAGAACACCTGCGAATCCACAAGAAAAAGAAAAACAGCCCAGTAGAAAAGTGGGTAAAGGACTTGACCAAGCACTTGACAAATGACCAAAGTGACCCAATCAGCATGTGACAAGTTGTTGAAGTTCTTCAGAAGGAGCCACGGTTGTTTCTGTAACAAATTACCCCAAATTTAGTGGCTTGAAACAACACACACTTATTATCTTACAGTTTTGTAAGTTAGAAGATTGGCATGGCTCTTGAAGACTGAAATCTAGTTGTTTGCAAGGCTTTGTTCCCTCCTGGAGGCTCCAGGGAAGGGTCTCTTTCCTTGCCTCTTCCAACTTTTAGAGAGGCTGCCCACGTTGCATGGCTCATGACTCCCTTTTCCCATCTTGAAGGCCACTGACAGCAGGTGACCCTTCTCACACTGGATCACTGTGACTTGTCCTGCCTCCTTCTTCCACTTTTAAAGACCCTGTGATTACATTGGGCCCACCTGGATAATCCAGCATAATTTTCCCATCTCAAGATCCTTAATTTAACCACATCTGCAAAATTCCTTTTGCCATGCGAAGTAACATATTCAAAGATTCTGGGGATTAGGTTATGGATATCTTTGGGGGTCAGGATTCCATTTACATAAAGTTCAAAATTGGCAAAACAAATCTAATCAGGATAGGATTTGGCCTTGGGGAGACGTGGGGGAACTCTGAGGGGCCAGGAGTGTTTTATTTCCTGATCTGGGTGTTGGTTACACACAGGTGTGTTCACCTTGTTCACTTGTGAAAATCATTGACCTGTATACTTACGTGCACTTCTCTGAATGTTATACTTTAATAGAATAGTTTACTCAAGAAGGAAAAAAACACCCTATGGCTAAGACACAGGTAGTTTTTGCTCTCGTGTAGCTTACATTCTAGTGGGGATAAATAAATGATTACAACCTGCAATGTGCTGTGAAGGAGATTAACAGGCTTCTGTGAGAGAGTCTGGGGGAAGGTTCGGGAAAGACTTCCCTTAGAAGGTGACATCTAAGCTGATACCTAAATGATAAGATGGTGCCAGCCATGCTAAGCTCTGGGGGGAGAGTGTTCCAGGCAGAGGAGACAGCAAGATCAAAGGCCCTAAGGCTCGACATATATTGGAAACTGATGGAAGCCCAGCATAGCTGGAGTGGAGAGGATAGAAGACAGATGAACTGGAGTTAGGGCCATGGGAAGGAGTTGGGATTTTTTATTTTTGTTCCCAAGTAGACAGAGAGAACCAATAAAAGGCTTTTCGTTTTCAGTTGTGAAATGTCACTAGCAATTTTGGAGCATGGATTGGAGGGGAGCAAGAAGACCAGTTTGGAGGCTTTTGCAATCATCTATGAGGGAGGTAACAGTGGGATGGGCAAGGCTGGTGGTAGTGGAAATGGAGCCTGATGAGAAATATTGGAGTTGGGGAACTAAGATGTGCAGATGAATTGACTGAAGAATCAGAGTGATGCCTTAGACATCTGGCTTCAGTAACTGGGTGACAGTGATGCCACTTATTGAGATGGGGACAAAATGAATCTAAGGGACACACAGGTTGGGTGGCTGTTCCAGAGGGATCTGGTCACATTCCAAAACCACCAAATCCCTTCCCATTCATTCATTTCTTCATTCTGCAGCTGTGTGGAAATGTATCCACAGGAGCCGGGGAGTTTAAGGAGTCCCCAGAGGATATAAGAGGCAAAGGGCTGAGGGCCATGTCCTGTGCAGTGAGGATGATAGCAATGAAAGGCAACCCTTCAACCTGAAAAGTCACCGCCAAACCCTACAGCTAAGGATAGTTTCAGCGATGACTTAAAAGACCCCCATGTTTGAAAACATCCAGCTCCTGGGTCATCTCTCAGCTTTTGGCCTTTACCACGCTGACCACACCCTCAGCATGACCCAAATACCCTCCCTTTCTGTGGACACCCTCTCCCTGCCCCAACCACAGAAGCATTGCCTGGCAGGGATAAATAAATGTCACAAAGGCTGAATTCTTATTGCTGCCTGAGCACAGGGTGGAGTGATTCAGGCTGGAGTCCCTGGATCTCATGAGGCTGGTGTGGGGTGGGAGTGAGCTGAAGCTGGGCAACCAACTCTGCCAGGTTGGTGGAGCCTCCCTGTCCCCTCTGCAGGGGACAGAGGGTAGAGGCTGGGTGGCTGAGGGGTGTGGTGCCTGCTGTCTGCCAGGCCTGTGCTGGGCCCTTTGCCTGGGTTGGTTCATTTGAACCCCCTGGGTTTGTTCATCAGTGGTGCCCAGTGGGACCACTCCCAGTGCCTTCAGGGCAGACTCGGTATTTTCTAAACTATGCCATGATGAGGAAAATCAGATCTTCCTTTTTTTTTTTGCGGTGCGCGGGCCTCTCACTGTTGTGGCCTCTCCCATTGCGGAGCACAGGCTCCGGACGCGCAGGCTCAGCGGCCATGGCTCACGGGCCCAGCCGCTCCGCGGCAAGTGGGATCTACCCGGACCGGGGCACGAACCCGTGTCCCCTGCATCGGCAGGTGGACTCTCAACCACTGCGCCACCAGGGCAGCCCCAGATCTACCTCTGAAGAAGGAAACTCCTCAGCTTCCCTGAGCTACCAGCCAACACGCCCTGGGATCCATTTCTGGCCTCTCCTCTAAGCAGGGCAGAGTCAAGCCCAGGGGTGGGAACTATAAACTACCCGACCTCGTTAACCCCCAGAGCCTGGTACCTCATCTGCGTATCAAGCAGACCTATTTCGTGGTGTTCCTCGTCAGGGGCATCAAGACTCCATGCTGATGGTCAGAGCCTCGGTGGATTCGATGTCCCCTCAGCCTTGGGCACTATGATTCCCCTGGGGTCAGTTTCACACTCGGGCTACCAGGAGCGCTCCCCGAGCTCTCACCCGAGCTCCCGAGAAATGCAAGCCCAGATGCTGGATTTGGGACCAAAGCACAGGTACAGAACCCAGGGAGAGCTAGAATCCGGGACTTGAAGATGTAACCGCCCTCCCCAAAGAGCGTGAGCGCTGCCCCCTCCACCCCCAGCCCAGCCCAGCCCACCGGAAATGACGGCGCGTGCGCAGGCAGCACTGACGTTAGAGAGCCCCGGCACTCCCAGTCACACGGGTCACCCTGGGGGAGGGGCAGGGTGCCCAGCCCGCGCCTCTGGCCGTCGGGGTATCCGCTGACACCACACGCTGCGCATCTTGGGTGCTCCCACCCCTGCAGGCCGCGCTACCTTCCCTGTCCCCAGACCCGTGATTTTAGCGCTGGGCTTACATTGCACTGAATGATCTTGCCCCATCTGTCCTCTCCACCATTCTGAGGTCAGCGCCTGGCGGGGAAAGGCACTCAGTACATTTCAATGAGTGAGGTCATCTGGTGTCCAACCCCTCTTCCCCCGTACACCATCGGAGTGTGTCCCAGACAATGTCTGTTCTGAAAGGGGAATTATGTTAGAGTGTCACCAGTCCTTGTGGTCAGGAAGCGCTTCTGTGTGTCTACCCCAAATCCCTGCAATTTAAACCCTCCAGGCCTGTCATCAGCAGGGACCTTTAGGATGCTTATGCTGAGGGTGTCCCTCCTGTGGGGTCATTCTTACTTTTCCTCCTTTGATACCTCCTCATGGGGTTGTTGGGAGGGGCTATAAACTCTTGGTCTGAGTTAACACAGGCCAAAGGCTTAGAACAGTGACTGGGCCATACGAACGCTATTCAGTGTTTGCTCTTAGGATCATTATTATCGTAACTTTTTTACCTGGAGGATCCACTCCTTGCCTGTCACTACCCCTCTTCTGGCGGGACTCCTGACGGGGGTGCTGGGGAGACTGTCCAGGGACTTTACCTTCCTGGTGGGGGGGTCATGGGGGCAGGTCAGGCCTGCAGTCAAGGCCTGAGACACAGGCCTAAGAGAACTATGGAGAAGCTCCAGGCACATTTGCTCACTGCTGGCTGCTTGGGCTCCCACTGCAACACAGCACTTGGTCCACTGTATGGGATCCATCTCGCTCCCAGCAGACTGAAAGCCCCTTGAGGGCAGGGACTCCAGCTGGCACATAGCAGGTGCCTGATGAAGGAACAAATGGATGCTCTAAAACCAGTGGCAGAATCATATTCCTTGGTCCTCCTTCTTTATCCATCTCCACCACAGAAAAGATCTGCTTGCCCTACCTGAAAGTCTCCTAAAGGCACTAAAAAATGAATCTGAAAAACAGTGGGTGAAAATGTGCCTTTCCTATTGACTGAAGTGGATTCCCAAAGTGGCTCCATCTTCTGTGATCACCCAGCCCAGGAGTTCCCTTCATTCAGTTATCCACTGTGTGCTAGGCCAGTACTAGGTGCTGGGGATGTAGAGAACAAGATACACCCAGCCCTGGCTCTCATGAAGCTTGCATCTCAGTAAGAGAGGCAGACCTAAATCAAGCAAAAAGGCAAAAACATTTAAGATGGTGGTAAAAGTTTTAGGAAACACACTGAAGGATGAACTAACAACAGTTGGAGATGGGAAATCTCTCAGGGAAAGTG